GCGCCACCTCACCAAGTCAATGCCGACACGCAGCTAACAAACGTCAGTATTCGTATGCTGCCACTGAACACGACGGCTTACCTCCAACCACAGGATGCTGGGATCATAGCATCCTTCAAGGCCAAAGTGAAGCAGCGGCAGTTGCAAAACGCACTTGAACAAATCGACGCTGTCATGTCTGGCCGACAAGACGGCCTGTACGAAGTCCCTCTCGTTGAGGCGATGGGCTGGGCTCAGGATGCCTGGCGGTCTATAGAGCAATCGACTGTGAGAAACTGCTGGAGACGCACTGGAATACTCACCTCTGACTCCGAGTCGTCCAGCGCCTAAATGACTGCATAAATAGTTGGTCCAGACAGCGAGATAATAACCTGTAAGAGTTAATATACTGTGTAAATTGCATAATTTGCCCCGTTTCGTTTAAGGGGGGAGATCAGTAGAATAACGATATGAATAATGTCTACTGCTACTACCTGGTACTGTACAAGAAGTACTTAATAACGTTAGTAGCAACATACGTACCGGTACAGTAGTCCTGTCCGAGACGCTTACTAATCGTCGTTCTACTACTATGCTGTTGAGCAGCAACTAATCGCCGTTCTACTACTAGGCTGTTGAGCAGCAGTGATGTCTATTCTGATCTAAGTCGTTTGGTCGGGGTCGACGTCCTTGTCATCGTCGCCAAACATCTTGCCCGCTGGCCACGTTCTCTCGTACTTCTCTGTTTCCACGGCGGCATGCTGTTCGTCGTCCATGATGCTGTCCAACATTGGAATGTCCTCGACATGGAGCGCCGGCGACGGCGTCGGCGCCATCAACAAGGCCATGTGCCGCGTCACCAGATCAACATCAATGCTCCCGCCAAAGTCTTACATGGCGGCCGAAGGCTCGCCCGTCCGTGCCGTAGCTTCCATCTTCACCACATCTTCCCCAAATGCACTGAAATCTTCGCTCCCACGGCGATGAAGCGGCATCTGCTGTGGCTCCATGACACTGCCGTGGACTCGGCAGTGTCCGTTGTGTGAGTGTTGTTCTGTTTGGGTTTCGTTGGCGGCTCCACCAGGACGAACGTATGATCAAAGAACGAGTTGGCATCTTGTCCTTCGACTTCTTCGTTCTCGTCAACATGGATGACCGGGGCGGCAACAGATTGAACTTTACGCTTGTATCTTCGTTGCCTTGCCTTTTGTCCTCTGCTTGTCCTTGGGGGAGGCTTTGCTTAGCGTGGCCGCAACTGTACTACAGTACCACAGGTACTTGGCTTGTGCCAAAGTCTTGGTTATTGTTACTCCGAATGTGTTTTCAACCAATAGCAAGCTGTATATGTTATATGTGAGTGATATGTTGCTCAACCGACAACAATCAGATTGCCTATAAAATATCTGACCAATCAAAATTCAAAAAATTGTCGGTTATCCAATCATCGGCTCCAAATTTGTCGGTTTGATGTCGGATGCCACCTATATGTCCATTTTCGGAATTGGCGAAAAAAGTGGATATCTGTAAACTGGCACTCTACGTAATGCACACCACAGGCGCTCAGCAACGGAGACTACAGTTCTGTACTAACGTTAACCTCAGCTTACCCGGGTCCTAAAATGAAAGGAATGGAACAGGTTATCCGGACCATGTGTTGGAACTGTAGTCCCATCAAATATTCTTTAAATACTTAACCTTGTAACATTAAGGAGATTTCGCAATCATCGGTTATTTGTTCGCGTTCAGCTCAGGCAACGACAACGGCAGCGGCAACGACAGATATTTTATGATTTCGCAACAGCATATTTCCATCGAAATTTACGAATAAATTATCCGGATATTGGATCAGCTTGGGCACACGTCGAAACGAACGAGACAGCACTGGTGGTGTTAGTCATGCGAGGCTGCAGAAAACAAAGCCACGTCAACAGCAGCGTCGACTGTTGTTGCTACTACTGTGGAAGCTATTGAGTAGTTGGATTGAACGTCCCGTTGTCCCCAACGTTCGTTTAGGCCTTGTTACGTTAAATGACACCGACTCGACCGAGTACTTTCGTTTTGACGTCGCCGGTGTCCGATCATTGGCGGTGCTGCTCCGCTTACCTGGCGTCGTGGTCACGCCAAGCCGAGACCGTTGTAATGCTGTAGAAGCGTTGTGTATTCTGCTGCGCCGCCTCGCATATCCGACGAAGTACCACGTCATGATCGCAATGTTTGGTCGATCCAGGGAGCAATAGTGTCGAATTTTCAACTACGTTGTGGAAACCCTCCACAACCAATAGTCCGCGTTGTTGTTTTTTGCACGTCGCGTTGTCTAAAAGCGCATCCAGCAGTATGCTCAGTGTGTTCACATCAAAGGTGCTCCGTTGGCAAATGTTTTTGCTTTCCCTGATGGGACAAAGCTCGAAACATGCCGCATCGTGGCCTCATCGACGCTACTCCCAGTCGCCACAAGCGCACAAGGCCCATTGGCGCAACCCAATCTTCAAAAATTACTGTACAGTGGACACAAGCGTCGGCACTGTTTGAACTACCAAGCTCTTTCTGCTCCGGACGGTTTGTGCATTCATTTTTGGGGGGCACTGGAGGGCAGCCGCCATGATACAACAATGCTGCGTTGCAGCAATTTGCTCGAATACTTCGACGCAAACGCCGACATTTTTGAAGGTTCAATACCTTTAAGCCGCAGCAAAAAGTCATGCTGAGCGCCGTTGGGAAGTAGTTGCGGTATCTATGCTGCTCACCAACTGCCATTGCTGCTACAACAATGGCAACAAAATATCAACCTTATTTGGCTTATCACCGCCAAAGTTAGAAGAGTATCTCGAGTAATCAAACTTGTCATGGAAATTATATTTTGTTAAGTTTGGCCAAGTTCAAAACCTTTTCGTTTTCCAATCTGGCAAGTTCTAAGCGTGCTTCTCGCTCTGCTTGGCGATCCTGCATCTCTTTTTCAAACTTGAATTTCTTGAATTCAAGCTGCTTTTCAGATTCTACGCGCAGCATGTCGACCAAATATTCCATTTCCTAAGTTAAATGAGTGAGCAATAGTATATACATTGCCTTTGAGTACAAATGTAAAATATACAAAATAGTAATATTTGCCTTAGAGTAGAAATGTAAAATATACAACATAGTAGCTACCTGCTTCTTCGATGGCGTGGATTTGGAGGGCCCCAGTTCTTCAACTTTGCGCTTTCCAATGGTTTTCATCGCTTCGTGCCGTACATGGTGGTCGTTTAAGTCCTTGGACTTAAGTTTGTTGCTGACGCCGCAATTGATGCCTTGGCCGGCTTTTCCTCCGTCTCTTGCATTCGAAGCAGGAAGTCATCAAGCAACT